ATTGAAATAGGCTTCTCTTTAAACAAATCCTTAAGCTTTAAAATATGATCATCAAAAATATCAGGTAAATAAACTTGTCGAAGAGTTGGTGCTTGTGGAATTGATCCTCCTTCATGGCAGTATTTTTGCAAAAATGGACGTAGATAATTTACTTTTTTCAAAGGAATGTTCGCCATCACCATTGTTTCAATTAAATCTTTAATGATAGCCCGCCTAACATCATTAGCACTTAGTGTGGTTTGTAAAGTTCTTTGGTATGTATGAGTAGAGCTTTGTTTTGCTTTGGCTTTATTTTCTTTATGTGATTAGCTATCCACATGGTCATCTACTGTTGATTTACGTTTCCATTCTATAGGAATATTACAAAATTTACAAAAAAGTAAATCATCATCCACATGAAAATTTTCAGGATATTCGTTAACACGGGTACGAGGAGACACAACTTTTTGCCGTGGCATTTCTTTTTGGTTTTTTTTGTTTTTTTTTTTGTTTTTTGAATCTTGCGAATATTTTTTGTACCATTTTTGTGCTTTAATAAGGTTTTTTATAAAATAGACAACCACAAGGTCATCTTTCGAATATCTAAGAATGGCAGCTAATTATTTGAATACAGTATAAAATATTCTAGCCAGAATAGAAAAAATCAGGTTTAATGTTTTGTCGCAATTAATGAAATCAAGTTTAAAATTTTACATTTTAACAAGAAAAAAAATTACTAATAAGCATTAGTTTTCTAAAACGAATTTAGACTATTTAGACTTTTTTATAAAAAAAAAAATTTTTTTTGAAAAATTTACAATCTGATTGGCTAATTTTTATTGATCGATATATAAATCTTTGAACTCCCAAATTCTGCAATTATCTGCGATATAAAATCCAATTTCTGCAAAAAGACCTGAATTCTGTGAATTCTGCGGCATTCTGCATTTTGCAAAAAATCATCGTCTCTGAGTCACTGACCCTAGCCATCCAGAAAAAAAGTGTCGAACAAGATTCTACTCGAACCACGTGATAATTTGCACAATACCATTTACTACGGTATAATTAAATTTGCTAGATATTTAACATTGTTTTTTAAAATTTGAACAAAGATAACTTGCTTATCATCCAGTCAAATTTGATAATTTTTTTTATTTTAATTCTATGAATACTTTGAATTAAAATATTACAAAATTTATTATAATAAATTAAGTTATTGTTAAGATAGCTTTGTTTCACCATTAATATTAAAAAAAAAAAACTTTGTTTCAGGGTAGAGTGTATAAATTTCTAATTTTATATAAAATAGATTGTAGATCAACTTTGTGTAATTAATTTTATATGATATCATATGATTTACATGTAAACATCATATGATTTAACTAATCAGAATTAGCAATTCTTGTACTATTTAGGAAAAATATATAGTAATCTAGAAAAATTTAATTATATTGTAATATGCCTGCTTGGCTTAACCTAATTTTAATAATAAATGTGTCATTGCCAGTTAAGTCAAATAAATATATTACTTGACTTAATGTATCAAAGTAGTTAAAAAATGTGTTTACAGAAAAAAAATATAAAAAAAATCTAAAACTAAATAAAAAAACTATAAAATAATTAAATAATAAATCAAAAATAACTAGTTTTACTCAAGTATAAATCAAAAATATCACTAGAAAAGCAATAATTTTACTATAAAAATACAATAAAACTACTATAAAAATATTATAGAATTACATTTTATTACTAAGAAAATACACAATAATAAGGTTTTATCACAAGAAAATAGACAAAGAAAAGGGTCAAATATACCCAAAAATGATATAAATTTTTAAAGGAATAGATATAGAGTATATATTAATATCCTTTTGTTTTGAAAAAAAAGCAAAATTTAAATATCTTTCAATAATACTATAAGCTAATATTATACAATAAAGTAATAATATTACAAATCATTATAATAATAAAATAAATCATTATAATAATAGAATAAATTATTGTAATAATGTTATGTACTACTATTTAAGTTGTTATTTAATAATAATAATACGACAGTATGAAATCTGGGTTTTTTAGAGTAAAACCTGAATTTTTTAGATTACATTATTGATGCAGATCACTATCAAAACAATCTTAAAATAGTAACTAACCCTAATTAACTTTAATTTAATATAGATCTGCATTAATAATATAACTAAGCCAACTCAGGTTTCACCCTGCAGTATAATAATTATTAAAAATAATGTTATTTTACAATGAAATACTATTATATAATAATATTATTATATATTACTATAATAATCATTATGTATAATATTATATAATAAATAATAAAACTATTATGTCTAAAATTAGTAATAAAGTCAAATAAATATTAATACATCGATCTAAAATATTCTAGAGCACTATCTGTACTTGTGTGTACTTGTGTAGTCTTAGTCCAGGCTCTGTTATATTAAATAAACTAATAATTAGATATTAAAACAAATATTGCTTTAAATAGAATTCTGTAAAAAATATACTAATAAAATATGTAATAAACTACTGTAAAAATATCTAAAATAAATAAAATATATTATAAACTATATAAATAAACCAATAAAATAATAAAATATATAATAATAATATAAAATATATAATAAAATTTAAGAAAAATATTAATAAAAATTTATAAAAAAATACTAATAAAATTTTTTCAATATTACAATATATAAAGTTAATTTTTTTTAAAATAATATATATTTCTTAACTTCAATATTATAAACAAATTGTTTAAATTATATATTATATAAATTTTATTCAAATTAATTAAGATATAAAAAGTTTTATTAGAAATATTTTTTATTTACTAAATAAAAATCTAATATACCACATAGATTATATAAAAAATGATCTATATATACTTTTAAATAATAGCTATTTCTAGTTATTAAGAATGATTTAAATTTATCTAATTATATTTTATTTATTTTTTTCTTTGATAAATCTTGTTTACTTTTATTTAAAGAAAAACTAAATTTTTATATAGGTGATATATTTATTATAGTTTAAATTATTCTAATCAAAAGGATATGATGATATAAAATAGTAATTAAGTTGTCACCCCCAAGTGGCAGATCTAGAGTTCGATTTTCACCAAAGACATTTTTTAAAAAATAGGCCTATGTACTGGTAATATTTATTCAATAATCAGTTGAATATATCATCTATAATCTTTGTACTACTATCTTAAAATAGAAGCTTTAGAGTGATCCAAATTCAAGAAACTAGAATATTTAAAACCCATTTGGCAAGACTCAAGCTAGAAGTAGTAAAGATTTTTGACAATATTATAAAAAACCAAAAACAGAGACTAGTGCTTGGCAAAATCAATCTTTTTTTTAACAGTCAAATACATGTAACAATCTGACTTTTAAAGCAAGATAATATGATAATATAGTAATACAACTTTGATCTGATAAATTTTTATACATAATTTTTTATTAGCATTATTAGCATTAAATATATACTATAATATAAACTAAAAATTTTTTAGATCTCCAGATTTATAGTTTTATAATTTTATCAAAATAGCTATTTAAACTTATAGACATTATTTATTAAGATAGCAGATTTAATAACTTCGAAAGCTAAGATGATTTTAGATTAGATAGTATACTATTTGGATTATATATCTTAATAACATACTTCTAAAACAACAGGTTTACTATTACTTTGAGAGATCAGGTGATTTTGTATAACTAGAAGGTAGTATATTCTGATTAAGAAGATCTGTACTATACTATTTAGATTCAGTAACATAGAATTCTTATATTGGTTTATTTACTTTGAACATCAGATGATTTTAGACAACTAGAAATAACATGTTTAGATTAGAAAGGTCTGTGTTATATTCTTTAAATTCGGTACATAGTATCCTAATATTGTGATTATAAAAATAATATCAACAAAATTAACAGTTTTTTTTTCTAGTTTTTTTTGAAAATCAGTACAAAAATATTTGATACTGGGTTCGTATTAACTTTTAGCTAAATTAAAATATTTTTTAAAGAGGTTGAAGAATATGTGATTCCTTATATGCATTACAGATTCAATATATTCTGCATATTATTCAGAACTAAGAACAAGGAGAATACATTTTAGTATAATTGAAGGTA